GAGCAACGCGACTTCGATTACCCCTGTGTCGGACCATCGAGTCGTAAGATGTTTCGAGGCTTGAGTGCTCAATCTAGAATTCTCATCTGTGGAAATCCAGAAGCAATAGGCGTTTGGTTGTTCGGTAATCGCTCGGCGTCGATGAACCATGCTCCAAGAGCTCTCCTTCACGATAGTCCGTGTAATTTACTGACACGGGTATAATTTCCGAAGCGGAAGGAAGCGACAGTAAAGTATCTCTTGCACGATACAACATCAGCCTCGTTATCCTCCCTCGGGGAACGATTGTTGCTTCTACTGCGAACACACAGGGAAGAAAAGAGAGATAGAAAGACCGAACGAGTGCAGCGGCGATTTTACGACGCATTAATTGCGGTAAAGTCCCACCCGTCTGCCCGTCTCTCTTTTAAGGAAGAAATTCATGGAAGCCAACCACCAAGATCCGTTCAATTTCCGATTCCGGCGAGTTTCTTCTCGCGTAATGACTTTCCTGCAGTTTCGAAATTACAACCGACCCATTTACAAAATGTTCCCTGAAACGACACCTAGAAATTGGATCCTGGATCTCAAGCTGATCGAATGGATCTCTTTGTCGACACTTTCTTATCATCGATATCGTATCTTTCAGTGCCTCTTCGGTCACAGAAATGGCAGCAAAGGGAGATAAAAACGGTCGAAACTGGCAAAGCTTTGTGGACCCTCCCCGGTGGTCAGAGAATGTATTTAACGCTGTTTATTTGTCGGGGCAATCTTGCACAATATGCTGATAAAACAACGTCGCGAACAGGCGCATTTACGGTCGAATAAATTCGATTCGTCGGGGGCCGAGAGTGAAATCATTTATTCCCGAAGCCGGTTTTGCTCGCCGGAGCAAAAGCAAATCGCCTGTGTGCCCGCCTCTATCTGTGGCGTTCCAGAAAAAGATTCGGTGCCTTATCAATTAAAGTGAAGCTCGAGGTCCGATCGATTCCTGGTTGAACGAACCAGACCGGAAAAGACCCGCGAATTTAGAAATCACCGCGATGATCGGCCGCCTCGCGTTGCCCTCCCTCGAAGAACGATTACCGGCGATCAATGGACACGAGTCGATTACGTAAAGTCCGATCGCTCTTACCGAACACCCGGTCGTACTCGCCGAGCGATCCTGGAAACGTGTATATTCGATCGTGCAACGAGCAAGAGATAATCTTGTTTGAAGCGAGTCGGCGATAAGTCACCGATGGATCAACCAGACTCCGAAATTCTAATGGGAGAAATCGTTCTTGGAGAACAGATTCGCGGTTCCTTATTACAACCGTCATTGTTTTCCTGCAAGCAGAGACAAGCGGATTCGACGATTCGTCGCGCGCGCGTCGGCTTCTCAGTGCACGCACGCATCCTGATCCGGATAATTCCGGCGCCTTGACACGAAAAACCAGCCAGCATTAAGGCACACACCTTAGCCTCGACGATGCTCGATTTTCATGTCTCGACCGGTGGACGAAAAGGGGGACACACGGTGACCTATTCCCGAGACTTCAAGGTTCGTTTCCAGGGGGAAATGTCGCGAAATTGTCGCGACGGTAAATCCACCTTAGCCTAATTTCCGATCGATTACGACAGCGTGATCGAACACCTGGGCAAAATCGGATCGCAAGACGGGCTCCGGCGCGTTCTATATTCTCCGAACAAGCGGCAGCGGGGCACGTTCTCGCCTGCACAATCGAACACTTTCTACATACAAAGTGGTAGATACTGCTGTCAAACGGCGCAAACATTGGCAACGCGATGGAAAATACCGCATTCGCCCGATCCGCCGTTGTCGAATGGACGCTGCGCGGCAGATCGAAGAGGATAGCATGAGCGTTATTAATAATTCGACGTAGCAATTGGAGAAAAAAATTGCACCGTTTCGTTAATCGACAACCATAGAAGGACTAGAACTATCTAGGCTCGTCTCGATCTACTGTACGGAATACAGGCTTCAGAATTCTAATCTAAACCTAACTAACCCTTTGAATACCGATTTATTTGAAAACAATTTTGCATACGGAACAGAGTTAATTTATTTTTTAACGACTGATACAAGCTACTCTGGAATGAACAAGAATGTACATATTAAATATTGTCTCAACACGAATGACGAATTAGACTCGTCATCTTGCACTTAGGTGATACAGGTGCATGACGAGTCCCAGTCGTCAAATGTACCCAGGGAGTTAACAAAGTCAGCGTTACACCTGGGGACCTCTCCTTGTCGGTGCAGTGGAACACTTCGAACACTCATCGGTGATTTACTATATTACGAACCTAATGTCAGCAACGGTACTCTAACGAGTTACGGCGACGAAGAAGAGACTGACGGAATGTACATTACGCTAGCAGTAGGTTGGATGAGACACTTTCTACCCGCGGCCGCCGTAATCCGTAGACCAACGAACACGAAACACAGACCGTCACGTTCCGAAACCGAATATGTTATTTCCAAGTGAATCTTCTCCGTCTCTTCGTACACGATTCCCTGGCTTGACGAGTAACATATCGCGTTATCGTGCATTTTATTTCCAGGATCTAAGTTAATTAGTCCCGTGCCTTGAACTCGCCCGATTTGTTGCGTGTCGCGGAAACGGCGAGCGTAATTCGCGGACTTCGTTGAAACGAGCCGCGAAACGATGCCAATATTGGTTACCTAACGATCATCTGAATCCGAGACGAGATTGGCCTCGGGAAATTCTACACCCGCGAGAAAGTAAATGGCCTCGTGCTGCCGGGAAAAACCATAGTATCCACGGAATGTCCGAACGGGACGATCGGAATCCACTTATGTGTCGGTATCGATAATAGCGCCCGCCCGCGTCTGACTTCCATCGACTTTTTCCACTGTCGACCGATCCGAGTGTTTCCGGTGAAGGCGTGCAGTGTGTGTGCTTTGTTCGGGCAACGCCGTGGCAAAGTAGAATGAGAGCAGAGAGTGTATAATTCTCACGTTCTGATTCGAACTAATTGTCTTTCGCTATGGAAAACTCGCGATCCACGATCGTCGTTCGTGCGGGTGACTAAGATAGGAATACTCATCTATTCGTCTTCGAGACGACGATCACGAAAGGATAATAGAACACGTCGATCCGAGTGTTCGAACTGCAACGACGAGGAAATGAAAGCCTGGTTGCAGCCGGGGCCAGGTCTGCTTTTGAAGGCTATCGGGTTTTGCAACCACGCCTCCCTCCCTGCCATTGTCGATCTGAAAAATAATCGTGAGTGGGTACCACTCGGGGAGAAAAACAACGGAAAGCTACGAGCGTTGCGAAAACAATTTTCTCTGCCGAACGATTTGTCGGTGAAACGAAGAGAACTTCTCGGCCCGATGGAGAACAGAAACGGCGTATACCCTCGTCGGCACGAACAAAGTTTCCATAGAATTTTATGAAAGAGAACGGAAAGTTTCGAGGGGAGAAAGAAAGAAACGCTTTCGATAAAGTGTATACGCGTTACCAGCGCGTGTTATGATGCTACGTTTAAGAAATCGGATTCGATCGAGCACAACTGGTCGTGCCAGCCGTCGCTTCCGGTGACCTTTAGCGGGCGCAAGGATGACCGTTACGCGTGTCGTAACATAACGTAATTTTACCGTAAGGTAACGTTACGAGAGTGTCGCGCCGCGTTCTGGGAATGACTCGATAAACGAGGAATAGGAATCCTTCGACTTGGAGAGAACGTCGTTGTGGAAACGGTATCCTACCCGCACGAGGAACGATTTATTTCGCCGAACGAATGTCCAGCACATTCCGTATAATTCCCTAGACTCGCGGAAACGACCGATGGATTTTACGAGACTCTCGTGGATTATTAAAAGCCGGAGTATGCATTGCGAACGTTACAAGGAACGGTTCCCGGATGCGGGAAATCGCCGCGAGTTCCCAGCCGCGCCTGAGAATTCGCGGCGAGCGTCGCTCGTTGTGACACGAGCGAGGAAAGCAATAACGAACGAACTTGTGTAACCGAACAACACTGCGCTCGTTCGCCACACGATTCTTCGTTTCTGTGGAGAGTACATGTCCTCCTCCTCCACCTTTTCCTGCCCGCTTTTACACGGCGAACGATAACGACCCGCCTGTGAACTGGAGCGCGATAGACCGCTTAATTAATGCGAAATATATGCCGTGCTACGGACCAAGCGATCGCGAACGATCGGAACGCCCGGATGGTCGTCTACATTTTCGAACGGAAATCGAGACGATTGCAGGAGCACTCGTGCAGCAAAATTCCGTTCGATCGGTAACGGAAGATTCTCGTAAATTTCAATGTTTTCATTGTCCCGGTCCGATTGGCCTGTCGGCAAGCGAGAAACGTTATAGAAGAAATTCATTCGACGAATAATCAAAAATCGAGTTGTCCAGAAGGTTTCACTTTCACCAGATTCTCTTTCGTCGAGGTATCGAGAGATCGGACGCTCGCGAAGGCCGTCGTCGAGAGGTAGGTCCATCTGAATACGACCGGATGAAATATTTATCCGCTCTAGACACGCTGTACTACTCTGTTTGCTCGCACAAGGACGGATTGCAGCACCGAAAGAGTGTTTCTTCCCCCGGTGACACCTCGCGGTGTGGATACACACCGGGTATTCTTGGCGGGTTAACATCCAGTTGGGTTTAATAATTAATAGAAGGGACGCGCGCGAGCGCGCCACGACAACGACAAAGTCACACCCGGTATTACGTGATCGTGCATTTATATAACACCCACATTATCCTTGCATTATATGGTTAGCAGTGGTGACAGCACAGAGAAAGTTCCTATCCGTTCCCATATGCTCGAGCGACTATATGCTCTACGCTCGACGTCTGAAGTACGCGTGTCTCTTGATTATGCTCGATACAACTCAATATCGGTGCTCGCCGCTGTACGCGAGGATATACATATAACGCAAATTTTCCGGTAGTTTTAACTCTTCCGAGAGATTCCGCGAAATGGTTCTGTGAAATCGACTGAAAAAACCTTTTTGTCTGTCTGTTACAGTAGCACCATCATGCGGGAGAAAAGGTGGCTTCTGCTCGCTCTGTACGGTAAGTGAATCTTTTAACCTACGACTTTGAATGGACACGAGTTCGCGAATTCGATGGGTACAGTGCCACTCCGAGCTATACTGAGTTCGTAAAAACAGCAGGGGTTTGGATCCTTCATGCCATTAAGTATTTTGTATGTAGTGGTGGTGGAGCCTTAGAGGTATTAAAAGGGGAAGACAAAAACTTCTTCGATAGTTTTACATCCAATAAGGAAAAAGATATTTCAAATTTGAAGAGTAGAAAAAATAGAAGAAGGTTGCCTAATTTGGACCAGCGTCTATGTTGGACCACTACCTACTGTAATTTCTATCACACAGCCCACCAACTAAGAGAATCACACCTAAACTCACTGTAGCCCGGGAAGGCACTATACTACGATTAAAAACGGAGACCTCTCTCGATAAAAGGCCGTTTAAATCCTCGATCGTTTTTCTATGCGAGTAAAAGTCCTGCCAGGAACGCTGGCGCCCCGCGGTTAACCAGTCCTTTGTATTTTTGGACTTTCCTTATCCGGCGAGGAATGCCATCGACCTTCGAACCCGAGAGTTTTGTATCGGTGCTCAACGTTCGTTCACACCGACATTCCGCGCGACGATGCGCCGAGCGTAAGCGACGAATCGGTTTGGTCGGACACAGAATTCGATAAAACGTCCGCTGCGAAATACATGCATACACGGTACGTTTTGTATTCACCGCGCGGTCGAGGAGAGAGATGCGTGACACGCGAAACAGCTTTACAGGGAAGATTCCACGAAAGGAAAGAGATGAACCCGTTGAGCATACCAAGAGGCCCCTTTCCTTTGTCCAGTCGCGACGCGCGCCGCCATAGCCGACCGTCACCGAAATTCTCGATCTGTTGGCCAACGGTCGAAAGACCGGGGGGGTCTGCTTCGAGTAAACAAGTGCTTGTTTGACAGCCGAAATCGTTGAACGTAAGAACCCTGCGGTGGATGGCGCAATCGCGAACGTCCAGAGAGCCTGAACGTTTTAAAACGGCCACGTGATCGCGCGTGCTAACATTTAACGCCGTTTCTGACATTTTACCACCCGTTCGACGACTATTCGTTACCTCGCGAGCAGAGACAAGAGTTAAGGCCTTCGAAAACTCGTTTGAAAGCTACCGAACGATACGGTAGCGCGGGCTGTACGCAGCCCGGCTCCTTGGCACCACAAAAATTTATAACCGCGAGCACTCGCCCAGCTACACGATCCCGGATCGACGGAGCCGATGATCGCGATACCAGAACCGGTAATCCGATCGACGCCCATTATCGGTCGCAGAACAGGGAAACCAATGTCGTCACGCCCTTTTTAACGAAAATGTCAAAGCGTTCCCATTCGAAGTAAGGGAATCGGACAGACAATCGTCGGGGCGAGCGATACGCGATCGAGGTGAGGCAATTTGTTTATGGCGGCGTGGCCAAGCCGGTAGAGGCTGTTTCGTCACGAAAAATGTGTTTCGCCGTTACGTTTCCCGAGAACGGGGCGTGCCCACGCGAGCGTTTCCCACAAACGGAATGCGAGCGCGCTCGCCCTGTTCCCATAATTCATTTTTATGCAACGTCGTCGCTGCTGCTGTTGCTGGTGCGAGCTCGTTATCGATCTCCCCGGGCTTGGAAAAATACAATCTCCGTTTAGTTTCGTTCGTGCAACCGTCGACGGACCGCGCGCGCGTGTTTTTCAGCCATCGAGGAGCACCCACTCTTCGAGGTGGCCCTTGAACCGCACGGCCCCAGCGACGAAATCCCGTCGAAGTAGACGTCGATCGTTTGTCACAATTATCCGGATAACGTGAAGACGAGAAGGAGAAAAAAAAACATATCTCGTGGTAAAATAGACAGATTTATCGCTACCAGTTTCTTCCCTCTCGATGCGGTAAATTAATTAGACACGAAACATTTCAGACCCGCCCCGGTTAGGACACATTCGATGGAAAGCTAGAAACGGGCGAAAGTATTTCCGTTTTTTATCGGATGACAGGTTATTCCATCTCGTTCGGATCCGGTCTGGTCGATCCGTTGACCTTGAACCGGTTCCGATTAATTAGGAATAGCTCGGGGCTAACGATTCCGTGATAATTAACGGTCCCGTTCGAGACGATAAGAATTCGCGTATATCGAAACATCGTATATGCTCGTTATACCGTGGACCGACTAGAATGGAAGTCATCGTTCGGCGTATCGCGAGATCTATCCATTCTATAGCCGGAGCACATAAATCAACGAAAGCCCACCGAGAGAAAAGGATCAATAGACAGCCTTGATCCGCTTGAAAAACAATTACCCAACCGAATGAACGAACGTGTTCACCTGCACCGCGGAAAATTGCGACACAGCACACCGTCCGGAGAGTTCCAGCTGCTCGTCTCGCGTACGACTTTCGCAACGCCGACGCTTCTTCGCGGATTTACACAACCCGTGTGAATATGCGTGTGTGCCGGTGGTTTTCGAATGTTCGCGGCTCCATCGGCATCGAACGATCCTAACTCGTGGACCTGGCCGGTATTCAAACGAATCGAACCTGTCCACGTTGCCTTTAATCGGCTGTGATTCGCGCCACCGATTCCCGTCCGACAACAAGGGGAAAAGCGTCGACAAACACGGATCGATTGGATCGTGCCAAAGACGACACGATCCACTGCGCCGTTCCCGCGACCGGTTTATGATATTTCCTCCGAAATTCCAGGTATAGTCTTGGCCAATGCAGTTTCTGCCGCGCTCAAGGCTACCAGGCCGAAATTCAAGATCGCGACTACCTCGACTACGACCACCTCCACGACCACCGAGGAGAGTCCCGTCCACCAGAACGAGAACGAAGATGCAGAGGTAAAATAATCCGCTTATCGGATCACCGGTGTATTCGATTGTATATCCGAAACTTTTCTCGGAAAGTCAGCAGCCCAGGTTGCGCTTCGACCAAGCTACGATCTAACGCGAGAGAGATCGCTCGCAACGATAGCTCGCATTATTTACGTGTACCGGAATAGAATACTAGGGGATCGTTTATCTTTCGATGATGCAAATCGTGGCCAGCCGCAGTCACGACACGCGTCTATTTCTGTTCTCCAGGTGCGTCTTCGTGCACGTAACGGACGAAGCTTAAAAGGCAAGCAATCGCGACTACTTGCCCCCCACGTGTTTGACCTATTTCTTTTGTTTTTTTTTCACCGGACACACTGTAATTTCAGCAGTCGCGAATAATGAAAGTTATGCAAGGAATTTATCGTAATCTTGCCGACAATATCCTTTAATTGGACCACGCCGAGATCCGAGATCAATTAACTCGTAGCTTAACTACCGTGGATCACGCGTTACACGACAGGTTTACCTTCGAGCGTGAACAACACAGGTGACATCATCGAACACGAGCTCCATCCGGCTCATCCACGACTCGTTTACCGTGGTTGCCACACAATACACACGCGTTAAATAGCCAACGTCGCGTCTGCTGGGAGTCAGCCTGGTCGGACCAACGCGACGGCACGACGATTAACCGGCAAAAGAATGCTTCTGTTAATTCGTTTCAGCCGACCACGACGACGCTGGCCACCGAGACGAACGCGACCACCGGCCACGTTCTCACGGGAATCCCACAGATCGACTACATATGGGACCCGAATCTTCCACGTGAACTGAATGGTTACAATCTAAGCGATTATCCGTTCTACAACAGCATACCCGAAGACATCGACTTCAAATGCGACGGCCTACACGACGGATTCTACGCGAGCGTGCCACACAAATGTCAGGTAAGATGGTAAATCACTCGTACTTAACGCGACATCGATGGTATGTAGAGGTTATTATTAGCGATGAAAAACCAACAACTTTCCGTATCTTCGTATTGGTCGTCCCGAAGAAATACCGCGAGATATTTAATGATGTTTTTGTTATTTGTTATTCGGGACAGTCTGAAAGACCTTGTCGGATAAAACGAAAACGCGAATGCGTGAGTCGCCTTTAAAGATCGTACGTCAAAGGACACACGGATCCGCTGTGGGAGAGCACCACTTGTTGCTTTTCTTCTGGACACGTTTCCACGCGGTGGATCGACGACATACCTTTTTCGACGCGATCTAATAAGGTCCAGTTTCTCCAGGCAAATCGATCTATATCTCTGTCTAGTATAGATTCCAGAAAAGAAGCATAAACTGAAAGAGTCTGCGAAAAAAGTTTACGGCCTACAAGTAGATTGATACCGTGATAGATCAGACACGTAGAGAGAATAGAAACGATACACAATACGTAGAAAATCGTTTCCGTCCCAGAGATGGGCAAATTCATTATCTAAATAGAAAGAATCGAATAACGCATAAAAGATAAGAAAAAGTATTTCGCCATTTTTACTCGACTAAACATGGACATTCCAATTTTTTTAATAAGATAATATTTCATCTTCAACTAGTAGGCACTTGGCAAACTAATTGTTTAAAGATTAGAATGACGATCTCAGACCCTGTTGCTTTTCGCTGTGTGTCATTCGAATAAAATTCTGCCCAACTCTGTTCCGTCCGAGCAAAGACGTCCCCCCGTTTGTATTCCGAGAGAACCGATTTGCGTTGGCGCTCATCGAGAAACTCCGGGATCGATCGCGAGCGTCGCAAGAGTAAAAGTGGCTATCGTGACCGTTCCAGTGAAAAGGAAAGTCAGTGTCATCTGGATGAACGCCGGTGAAAGATTTTCTGACAAGGTGTGTCGTTCAGTCGCGTAACGAACGGATATCAGCGATCCGTGACAGAACGACGCGCGGCGGACCGGCATTTCCCTCCATTCGTCTCTAACAACGGAACAGACGCCGATCGCGATCGCAGCAGACGAACGTCCAACGGGGGGCCTTTCAGATTTCTACCGCGATTCCGCCGTGATCACGGAAAACCGTGAACGAAAGCGAGTCCCCGAGCGGAGATGCAAATGCAAGAAAAAAACGGCTTCAACGCTCTGTAGCGATCGTTTCACCGGCCATCGCCAGACGCCAACGAGTTCACATGAACACACACTCGACGGCGAACAGTGGACGCGAGCGCGAAATTTCCCCTTTCGATTGTTCTTCGTGTTCCAGCCAGTGTCCGTTCGAACAAGCGGACAAAGGAGTCCCTCTCGATCGTTCTCGAGGTCGCCGAGGAAAAAGCTCGACAAAGAAGTAAAAGAAGAAGAGTTTCGCGGTCCGATACGCTTCCCGCCCGTCCCTGACCGCTCCGAGATTCGCGCGCGCCTCTCGATCTTCGGATTGTGAAAGCGATTGCAAAGTACTAAAGTACCCTCCTTTCCGTCGTTCCTTATCGATTGTTTTGCCGGGGCTACCGGGAGAGCCCGAACGGCCCATTGTCATGCAAATGTTCGCGGATTCGTTTCCATCGCAGCCCTGCCACCCGAACGAACCGGATGCCAGCCTGGGAAAAAACTCGAAATAAAAAATTCCCGCCCGGGCAAGACTCGAGTCGCGACTTCGAGGAACGTTTCGCGATTCGACCCGAGTTTCCGCTCCGGCGAGCTCGTAATCGGCAAAACGGTTTCGGTGATCGAGCTTCCACAACGAATGCCTCGCTCTGTACAACCAGACTCGCGCACTCGAGATTGACATTTACACAAGCAGAAGTTGAGCAAGCGGCGGCGATCCATCATCGCGAAATCGTTTGGACCGACCCACGTCGAGATGCTTAGAAACCAGAGTACCGAGTAATTCTAAGCGTGCACGCGTATCTTGGAATGCAAAATACGCAACCAAGTCACTTCCGGCAATTTCGAGCAGGCCAAGTCCGACTTTCCAATAAACTCGTCCTAAGCACCGGGACATTCTTAGCGGATAAAACGATGACAAATTATGGTGCAAGGAAAACACGCGTGGGCAACAATTAGAAGGGGAGACTCTATCTATCGGTGACTCGTCTAGGACGGTGTCGGCGCGATGTATCTGGGAAGCCTTTGAAGAAACGAAATCGAACGTTCGATGAATTAACGAGGACGTGCTCTGAATAATTCCAGATGATTCCTCCGGATAATTCCGCGTAGCGATATACGTGACAGATCACCTTAGAGAGACAAGTTATTCGTGCACTCAACATCGCGGCGACGACGTACATACACTCGTGGGGGCTCGAAGCAATTGCCCGTGCACGCGCACGTAGCCTCGTCGTGAAAGCTACGGGTAACGTCTAACAGCGTCTCTGTGTTTTCGGTGAAAAGTGTGTTAAGACTGTCGGCGGAAGCCGTCTTGGTTCGTGAATTCGGACAAACAAACCGAAAAAAAAGAGCTGGTGCATGTCCTTCGAATTCTATCTCAGCGAAAGAAGAGATTCTTACAAACGTATGATTTTGATCTGTTCAAGGTGTACCATCACTGTTTGTTCGGCACGAGATACGATTTCCTCTGCGCAAACTTCACGGCGTTCGATCAGAAGACCTTCATCTGCCACTTCGTCTCCGAGGTCGACTGCGCCAATTCGAAGAAGTACTGGCACAGGAACGATGCTCTCTACAAGGCAGCCACGACCTCGACGACGTCCACCACGACGACGACCACACCGGCCCCGGTGACGCCCGCCGCTGGACGATCGTCGTCCAGAGACAGAGATCTTCCGCGAAGAAGAAGGCCGTCCAGAAGACGACCGTCATACGACTACTACGAGGAGGAGTATTACGACGACGACTACAGTCGTCCACGCGTATACAGCCGGGATGACTACGACTACGACGACCGAAAGTACAGAAGGGATAGAGATCGTGAGTTCCGAGATCGGGATCGCGATCGTGATTTCCGAGACAGAGATGCTCCAAGGTCCAGGGATGGAGTCGCCAGAGACGACAGAGATCGTGATACCAGCGGCGCCAGGGACAGATACCCGAGCAGAAACAATAGGAGAGACCCGAGCAGAACGAGAGACCCCCTCGAGGAGGACACCAGAGTCAGGCCGAGAGAGCCCGATCAAGCATCAAGGTCCACGTCGAGGGAAGTCGACGACACCGAGTTGGACGATCGACGAACCGAGTCCAGAGTCAGAGACGGCGACGATCGTCGATACTCCGACAAGAGGTGATTTGCCACGATAACGAATTACATGTCTTAATTTCTTTACCGATCGATCTTAAATAAATATTCAACGCGACACGTTTCACCCGCAGATACAGAGACGAGTACGACGATAAGGAGCTTGTGTCCGCGTCTGCAGTCACGATCGCGGACACACACGGTCTTGTGAAGCCGGCAGCCCCTGCAACGTCGGTTTACGCCAGACCAAGAGCTCCTCCGAAGATCAGAAGACCGGTGCCTCTGTCCGAACAGGACAAATACGCTTACAAGACTCCTGCCGCGCAAACGACGGGTAATTCCGTGTGACCAGACGACAGTACAACGGAGTTCATCCTATTAGACGTTAGGCATTCATTTCGTTTTTTTCTCTCGCAGAAGATCCTCGAAGAAGACCCACTACGGAAACGGAGGACGATTACTACGAGGACGAAGAGGATTTTCGACCGATCAGAAGACCGCTGAGAAGAAGGCCGTCTTACAGGGAGAGGGACAGAGATTTTTATGATACCAGGGATAGGGACAGGGATAGAGATCGACCCCTCAGGTAGGGTAACGTACGTACACAACACTGATACAATTATATTCGTGTGTCGTAACCGATTAATCAGAACGAATCCATTGCGAACGGTGTAACATCGTACCCGACCGACATATGTATCGATGTTTCCACAGTAACATGCGTTTCTAACGACACGACGCAACAGAAGGCTTCTTCGAACTTCAGTTAAATATATTCGCATAATCACACCATACAGAACCATTGAAATCACTGTTCCACAACCGAACAGTACATAAAAACGACTTTTCTCGTTTCAGATCACGTTATCGCGACGAGGAGGAGGACATGCGGCCGAGAAAGCACTCCGATCGCTCGAGAGATCGGTACTACGATCGAGACAGGGATCGAGGTGCTGACCGCGGTAGGGACCGATCTCTCGATCGTGGAAAGGACCGTACCCCGGACAGATCGTTGGATCGCGATCGAGGACGAACACAGGACAGAGACAGAGACGTGGATCGTCCTAGAACGGGTTCGCGATCCAAGGATCTGCAAGATCCTACGGACGCGCCACCGAGGAGAGGTAACGCGCATGAAAGAACTACAGCGTCGACGACAACCACCTGTCTGCCCGAGCAACTGAATCACAAAGTAGAAACGGACACGAAAGAACAGACACACACGGAAAGGCCAACCAGGCCGACGCAAAGTCCAACGACCCGAGCTACGATCGAGGACGGAGAATCTCATCGAACGAATCATCAGCATGCAGACTACCAAGAAAGGGATCACGAGGAGAGACGGGAACAAGGTGGTCAATATCAGACCGCGTCGTTGGAGGAATATTCGCAAGACTACTACGATGAACCGGAAGATCCGCCCGTTCCTACGCCGCGAACAGCGGTTCGGATCGTAAAACGACCGTTCCTGCCGTCCAGAGGCGGAAATCCAAATCCGAGGGGCTTGTCGCCGGTCGGCTCGAAGGCAACCACACTCAGAGGGGACGAAGATAGACCAACCGAAAGAACTACGATCCAGGAGAGGCCCAAGAGTTATTACACGCACGAGGCGACGCAAGAGAATCCCCCGGAGCACAATCAACAGTCCAAAGCGCGTCAGGAGGAGAAAGATAGTTTCGACTCGTACAAAACTGTTCCGTCTGAAAGCGAACGGGAAGACAGACCGGACGAATACGACACCTCCCTCGTGAGACCCGCGGTTCGTCGACCGAGCGACAGACAGCGGGAGGAAGAACCGCAGAAATCCCTGGAGGAATCGTTCGTCAGGGGACCGAAGCAAGAGCAACGTCACGAAGACCGACAGAATTACGAGGAGGGATTGTCGAAATGGCCCACCGAGGACTACTCGAACCACAACCAAAATAACGAGGGCAACACGCATGGCGTTTCCGGTCGCGGCAAAGGGAGACTAACCGCGAGCGAGAATCCAAACGTTTACGGTCCCGGTTTCAAGAACGACGAGAATCACGAGCATCCAACGGGGCCGGGCAATTTCCGTGTGAAACAACGGATCAACGAGGTAACCCATCGGCTCCAAGACATCCCGGAGAGCGAGTACGATGTCACTCTGAACGATGCGTTGACGCCCACGTTGAATCAGGAGACCAACTTGCCCAGCGGATTTGTTCTGCCTCTCCACAGACAACTCGGAAGAGACGCTGCCCTCCAACCGTCCGAAAACAATTACAAAGTCTCGAGGCCCGTTAATCAACAGCAGCAGCAGCAGCAGCAACAACAACAACAACAACAGAAGCCATTTGTGCCCAGTCCTCAGTTTCTGCCGGCTGCTCCCAACAACGACAGGCTGAGGACCGTGTACTACAGACCGCCCGAGACGATTCAGATCAGCAGCGGAGCGCCGTACAGAGCACAAAGGGGTCCGTGGCACGATTACACCGGTTATTGAACAGAATTACAGCAATTCGAATTGAAAAGCTTTCGAGTTTCACGGAACGAATCGTTCGATCTCTCGTAAAGCTGAACATGTCGTGGACGAATGTAATCGATGCTCGTCTTTGGGGGAGCAGCCTTTTTCGACCAATCCTCTTTCGGAATAAAGAAAACGCTATATATCAGACCATCGATCGTATCGGTCAGATTTTTCGATGTCTTTCATGCACAAAGACGAGGATTAACGGGGATCATCTCCTTGCTCCGGATTTTTGGAACTAGAAATAAAAAAGGAATATTTAAAATAATCAAATAATTATCGTGATGTTAACAAGCATCGAGCGTAGTAACAAGATCGAAGAGAGTTTTTTTTCCAAAAGCAACGCCAACAGTCGATTACTATTCGAAATTTGGATACAGTTGTTAATACAAGTATGTAAATGAAATGCAACGATCGGAAGAACCCTGGCGATGTAACATCGGTGGATGTATAAAATTTGGGTCGAAGGTGCAAGTCATCTCGCAATTGTTTCTACTTTCGACTAAGCTTGTAAATATTCGCACGATTACGCCTGATGATATTACCATTGTTTCGCCTTAAATTATTCTTGTAATCGGCGAGATATACGTATGTGTAGACACGGTTTTCTACGAAAGCACTTTCGTCGACTCGATTACTTCTTTTTCTTTCGATATTAGTAGCGAGTAAGCCTTCTCGAGTATACATTTTCCATTAAATGTATTGTAAATTATATCAACTGTGACGTACGATATTAAAAAAGTGAAAAAACACACGTATCTATGTCCTTTATTGACGAACGAATTAACCTGAATTTCACGCCACTTTTTCCCGCGCTCTCGAGAGTCTTGACGAGTGGATGGTAACAATGGTAGGCCAGTTGACTGTTACTTTCTTTATTTTCGGTTTCATATTTATCGATATGTACTTGGATATTTACAAATTCTTCGTCACGGTTCGTGTCGACCTAGTTTCGGTGATCCGTTGCGTGCACATGTTTCGTAGACGTTGTTACCAATTCCAGAACAATATTTTGTTCTCGGACAGACACAGTAGAATTTATTCCGGGCAAATTTTTCTTCCCCCCGTTCGGGGGACTGTTTACGTAACGCGTGCAACGTGTATATTGTTACGTCTGCAGTGGTCGAGAAACCCGAAGAACCATAACAGTTTTCACAATGGAGTAGCCATCAAATCCTAACAGATTGTGCCGAGAAAGTGCGCGATTCAGTCGAGAACGGGTGTGTTCAGTCAAAAATAACGTAAAATACATCACAGATTAAAATTGACAGCTTAACAGAATGACGCGCGGCCAAGATTAACCATTTTTTTTTTCAGAAACAGACGGCAGAGACTTCTAACTTGTAAAACAAAACTTGATAACAGTAATTATACTCGGTCGGATAGTCGAACCGCGTCGTTACGGAGAGAATAATAACGAGCGAAGGAAGGAAACATCGAAAACAAGAATTAATTCGCTACTACCAGTCACACCGTTCAAATTTCCTTTCGCGAACTATAAAAATATGAAATCTCATCGTCTCGCGATGCCTAGGCGACCTAACGAATCCGAAATCGATCTCGAGCACCGACTATAATCACTATGGTTAGCTTCTAGTGCAATAGAGTACTGTACAAAAATGATAGAGTACAAGAATAGGTTAAATATCTAATACATATATATATATATATATATATATATATATATATATACATCAATTATCGGTTAAAGGGACATCATTCCCATTTTCTTGAGAATATAAATATAGACAATGCGATTTCTTCTTGTTTCGGAAATCACGATTAATTCGAATTACAAACTATAGGAGAGAGAGAAAGAATGATTGGCTGGCAAGAATACGCGGCCGTAGAATCGGTCGAAGGTTATTTACAAAATCTGTTATATTACAGAAAAAAAAACGACATCGAGAACAATTATTATAGATGCAACGTTATTTTGGTATATGTGCAGCCGGCTTCTAAACGTCTTGCAGTTCAAAAGTTAACTCAGCTCAATTGACGGGGGAATCGCCGATTCGTTTCTTTTTCTCTTGCTTCGATTCGTTTCGCCACGGCGACGATACCGCCATCGTTGCTGCCCGTACACATCCGGAGAGATAATTCAGATTGTGGAATCTTTAGTCTTTGGTTAAGTAACGGTGAACGTATATTCTCATTTAAAGAGTTATCCTCGAAAGAACAAGATATTCAGAGACGACAACGAAACTTCATACGCGCGACACGATCGGACACTACCGATTCCTTCGCAATTATATCGGATACACTTACGTTGGAGGTATGCTAATAGGAAGTAATGTGCCTGCGTTTAAAAATATATAGGACTCGATCGTAATCACGGGAATATCCATCGTCGCGTCGCGTACATGAACGTTCATCGTGCAATCAGAATTTACAATCTTATTGAGAGCGCAGAACAGTATAACGTTTAATAGAATTCTCCTAAATTTTTGCGTACAGTGTATACCGGTGAACCGGTGATCACCAGATTTTATACAAGATATTAATAACGTGTAAAAATTTACTGACCAGCTTATTAATATCATCGTAAAAAATTATGCCTCCAGTATGTTCTTAAATAGCTATCGAAAACGCAGTCAGTTATATCCCATATCCCTTACAACCATCGTTCATAAAACGGATAATCAGCGATCGTGTAAGTAGTAGCACCTTTATGCGATCGACTGGCGAAACAAAAACGGCTTGTTACCAAAAAGAGATACGATCAAATTTACAAACAACGATAAAATCAATCGGGCACCTTATTTCGAAGTATCGTCGTCGATAATAAAAATGCAGAGATGTCGATAAAAATCACGGAAACGTTCGAACATTAGCACAAAAACACGTCTACTTACACCAACACCTCTTTACATGTATGTAGCCTCTTAATTCAGTTCGACGATATTTTTCCCTTGTACGTACCTTGTACCTAAACTCCTGCTCGAAATATGCACAAAGTTACACAACATTGTTCCCGTAAGCGTAAGCAAGCTTCGAGAAAACTTTCACGCGTGTACAACAGGTCTGGGTGATATGTTTCTGATTAGAATCACGAGCGTGAAACTGCTCGAACACGCAAATCGACGAAATGATCGATCGATCGATCGATCGAACGATTTTTTGAAAACTGCGTAACGCGCGACACGCGTGCCCGTTAACTCAAAGCTTGCCGCTTTTAATTCTGCATCTCGTGTAACTGAGCGTTTTCCAGGAGACACAGCTCGTGTTTTCCGATTCGAAAAATTAGACGCGGCGGAAAAACACAGCCCGCTTACGCTATCGGCGGATCGTCATCGTCATCGTCATCCCTCGTGACTAGGATATCGCCGTGACGATTCGGACGAAACTGTCGAAATCGTTCCAGCCATTTGTATCGCCTTGCCCCGAAATACAGCAGAACCCCGACTACTATGAGGAAGGTTGGAATTAACAAACCAGCGGCTACAGAACTACCTAAACAGAATTCACAGAAAGTTTAGTCCCAGCGTGGCGTGTGTCGACGCCGCGCAAGCAATTGTTGCCCCGCTCCACGATAACTCTGTGCCCTATCAACGTGCGGTGCGGTTAATGAGCTAACGCGGCCAGATTATCGGGTCGTGGAAATGGTTATATAGGAGTTTCACTTATCTACCGTGGAAAGTTTGCCATATGAAATTCTGCACGAGACTAAGAGTTTTGCTTCTTATGGATATAATATGCACCGTGAATTGTCCAAGAATCCCTTGGCGACGGTATCGGCTTTCTGGTAGACACGCGATCGGACCATCGCCGAGGGATTCGAGAAACTTTCCTCTCCCGCATCGATTACTATTTACCTCCAGAGTCGTCTTTGAGGTCTGGTTGAACGGTGGTCGCGCTAATAGCCAGAACTGTTTTATGCTGAAGACACTGGCCGCCCACCGGCACGTACTCTATCTGACACTCGCACCTCGACTCCCCGTTCGGCGTTAGCTGAACGCATCTTTCGTTGCGACCGCATTGCTCGTCCGCCTTGCTCACGTCGCACCGTCTAGTCTGATTCGATTCAGTGTTCGCTGAAAAAAACCTGAACGGTTGAAACCTGTCGGGGCTCCGACTACAATCGGAAAAGCTCCCGGTGTGTGTGTGTGTGTGTGTGTGACTCGGGACACGAGCGAGACTCCGTGAACTCGACGTTTAATCGCGAATCGAGTCGGTGTTACGACACGAGGCGTGTGTATATCTATCGCCTCCGAGTCGAACACTAATCATTCATCCGTTTTTTCTTGACCGAATGTTGTCCCGTGTTGGCAGTAAATTATTCTTGTTCGCGTAGGATAATTCTCGAGCGAACAGCTCGTGACAGCCGCGTCCGAGAATCTACCAGTAACGAAATAACGTTGAATCGGTTGACGCACAAATTGAAAGCGGGGGACAGAAAAAAGCCCTTTCCAGTTAATTCGTCCAAGTGAAGGTTAATAGATACGGGTGGGTATCAGTGAGGATGGTCGGACAATGGATCGCTCACGAGGGTTCACGCAGCAACGCGCGATAACCGGCATTCGTGAGCACGTCTAAGCACAATCAACAGGATTGAGTAGGACGGAACGATGTACGGAAACAAAGAGATCATTTTATCAGCGCACTGCTTCGTTTCATTGATCGTTATTGATCGATTCGTCTCGCGAGCCCGATTTCCTGATAGGATATCTCTCTCCCTCTCTATCGGTATTGCGATCGCTGAACAACGGGTTTCTTAATTGTCCACAGTGTTTGTTATCTGTTGGTTTATCAGGCTCGTCAGCGTTCCACGCTTGGTTTTTCGTTGACGTCGAACAAAGGAGCACGAAGAAGCGTCTCCCGTACCCCGTGCACGCGGTATTTTTGCGACTCTATCGGCACCGTGCGAGCCGAGATTGGCTGAATCAGTTAATTGAGACGAATTCATTTTATCAGACAGAATACAGGGGTTAACTAAACCGAGGTTCGGTCAAGCAAATTAGAGGAGTTGCTTTTGATTCGTGTCTGGTGTATCGCATCGATTCGATAAACAACCATTGCTGCGCAATCCACTCGAATCGACGAACGAAATCCCACGACGCTACGGTAGGTAAGAATAACGTCGCGATGCCATGATTTCGGAACAACGATCAATTCAAACGGTTAATACGAGCCGATGAACACTCGCGCGATAACGTCGAGGAATCGTACATAGAGTATCAAACAATGAGTCTTTTCATACAGTTTAAGCGACGTTCGTTCATTCGGTCGCGCTTTTACATATTCAAGAACGCACGAATCTTGAATATTCCTTCGCGTCGAAGCGCTAACAAGTCCCCGGACCAAACCGAGAGAAATTACATAACTATATATATATATATATATATATATATATATATATATATGTATATCTTCTGCTCCGAGTAGAATGTTGCACCACGGTCGGGCACACAAATTACGCAACTATCTTCCTTGAGAGGCGGAATACAATATTTGCACGCGAACCACACGTAACTGCTACCCGATACAAAACTGTTTCACTGGATAGAATTACCTTAACGATTAATGCAACAACCGTGAGAAAATGTTCGTTCGACGCACTAAATATTAATAAAATATATCCCCAGAAAATACATACATTGCCTCCTCGACTTTCGAAGGATTCGTAAAGCGCGCAAATTTGCCCGATTAATCGTAAAAAGAAAACGGATCGCCATGGTCACGAGGTGCCAAAGGCTAGTGGATTTTGTTATCGCGTTGACTCATCTCGTTCATTACGAACAAAACTTTGAACGGCCATGTCGAACGGATGAGTAAAAGGTCGCGTGAACACGCCTCGTGAAGGCAGCGCAATCAACTTCCTTGTTAAGCAACGCAAAATTTTCCATTTTTTCTTTTTTGTTGCGTAAATCATAGCATTCCCCGGTATTTGCAAAACTTTTTTCAACGAATCATTCGGTATTTATTCGTAGCTACGTATTTCCAACGCTTCTCCGGTCGCGTCAACCTGATTATCAGCTGTTTCCTCTACGAATGCAGATACTTGTGAGTCCGCTTCCTTGAATTCAATAATTAATTGTACTTTTACTTTACCAGTCACTGGTAATTCCACCACCGTCAGCCTTTTTTCCTACTTGACTACAGCAAAACTCTTTGGCTTCTGGCGTGTTCTTAGAATAGTTTTTTACACAAAACTCGGATCAATCGACAAATACGAGATCAATTATTATGGAGCAGTTACATGTAGTCGTTGAAATCGTTTATCATGTTCCAATGCACGATATCTGTAAGGTCGACCGAGCAGCTTAGACACAAATAGAGGAGGAACGCGTAAAGTATATACGCGATATGTATGGGCAATGTATGTAGTACCGAGAAACGGAGAACCAGAGAGGGCTCAATTTCTGGACCAGAAGAATACCAAGAGGAGAAGAGACACACGATGGAGACAGTAGGAGTGAGTGAGTACCAGAGAAAGAATGAGAGAGAGGAGGGAGAGGCACAGAGTAAAGTACAGGGGAGAAAGAAGAAGAGCGAGCAACAGAAGGAAAGAGGGGCAACGGGGAAGGGAGAAAAAGCGGAAGAAGACTATTGTGGCCTTAGTAGGGGTGACCTCAAATGGTTCGGACGAACGAAGCAATTTTGGGCACGGCTGATACGCGGTGAATAGACTCGGGAATTTACTGCCAAATAGAACAACGTATCCGTCGTCGTCGTCGTCGTCGTCGTCGTCGTGATCACGGAATCGGTGCTTACCTGCATGACTGAATGACGCTAGAAAAAGAACCGCCACGATGAGATAGCAGAACACGTCGACTCGAACGTTTCGCATTTTCCTTTCTTCCTTCCTGTCTGCCTACCTTCCTTCTGTGCTATCGCCTCGTGCACGGTTCACGGATCACATAATAAACGAGTCGACCGATTCTTTCGAGGAGCACTTACTCGCGAGTCGGTCCGTTTACGTCGCTCGAGAAAAAACCGTACGGTTGATCCCGCGATGAGGTACCTGGACGACGACAACACGCGTCACCCTCTCGTCGACGACACGTTCGGCTTAATGAGCTACAGTCGATTCGCGGGAAGATCAACAGGCGCGCGTGAACCGGCTCATCGCCGAACGGCCCGGCCGTCACCACTTTTGACAGATAAATGCTAGGCCGCGCCGCCGTCGAACGCGTTCAATCATCTGTTATTAAACGACCATTTGCTACTATCGAAGCCAATTGCTCCTGCTGGTCGACCAATCGAAAACGCTGCCCATCTTTCGATTCTGTTTCGAGATATATCGAACACGGGGAATACGCGTGCGCCTACGACTGGCGCCACGCTTAAAATTTGAACACGCGATTCTTCTTCCCTACCCGTGTCGTTCTCCTTGAAATCTTAGAAAGTCGCGGAAATTCGCGAAAGCTATGACGTCGAGCGAACCAAACCGTAACTTATACGTACTCTATATTTTCACTCTCCACTCTTGTACCAATCTTTTTGTTATGTTTGTATACTGAATGATCGTGTTCGCGAAACATGTCTTTCGCGAAAGCTCCCGAAGGATGCCAAAGATTTTCCAGCGACGATTCTCGGGACGCGATTCAATGGTTCGCCGAAAGTAGTTTTATTTTTGGAGTAGGTATCCATGCCGGTAGTTCGTTTTTTATCTGCTAGATAACACTAGCAGCTGTCTGGCGGAAATCGATTACTATACAGTGTATTTTTAAAAAGTAGAACCTCCACTCGGTCGAGCAACTTTTCTGCATTTCTGCAAAAGTGCACGGGCTCGTTGAACTTTGCGAAACGTTCGAACGCCGGGACTAATGTGTTCCGCCGTCCGCGGGCTTCGATGCGTTCGTCGCACGATTCGGAATCCAAACTTTTTCTGTATTTATAAATACAAGCTTAACAAACGAAACGCGGCGGATAGGTGTACGATTACAGGTCCTTGAAACGTAGTTGCGATGACAGCGGCACGTGTCATGGCGAGTAGTGTTGTCGTGAACGAAAGTAACGTACTGTGAGTGGCTCACACAAAATCAGACTGCTGATCAATTACAATAGTCGAGATGAGGGAAGACACGGTGCTGAGTTTAAAGTGGCACAGTTTCCCATCCCATTTAGCGGTTTCCCTCGATACATGCTATGAGAAGCAACAGTTTGTAGATCTTTCGCTTGTGTGCAAAGACGGGACAATTTTGAAATGTCATAAAATGGTATTAGCCAATTCGAGCTCGTTCTTCCGGCGTCTGCTCGTCGCGAACGATCATCCTCATCCCATGATCATCCTTCACGACGTCGAGGCGGACGAGCTAAAGACTATCATAAACTTTATGTACTGCGGCGAGATACAAGTGGTTCAGAGTGAGGTTAGACGGTTGTTGAAGCTCGCCGAAATTTTAGAAGTGACTGGACTCAGACACATTCAGACTTCCGTTTTGGTGGGAGAGTCGAACGACACGTCTCACGATGAACCCAGAAAAACGGCTACGGTAGCCAAATTGAAAATCGAGGAGCCCAAAGCATTGCCCACTAAACCTGTACCTGAACATGACCCCAATGCTAGATCTCAGAACAAAACGACCTGTCCAACTGCCAGGTTTCTTTCATCCACTCATCCCCACAAAGGTGGAGTTAAGTTGCCTCAAGAGATTACCAAAAAGGGTGAAGAAAGTGCAGTTAATTTATTGAGTCAACGATTGGAGACCGGTAGATCCGGTATCAGTATTGTAGATGTCAACGACATGCCAAGCACGAGTAGAGGAATTCCCAACCCACTTCCTCAAAAAAGAAAAGATCCTTCTGACAATGTTATCAGCTGGCCCAGAATCTTATCCGCGATATCCAAAGATCAACCTTTGCCCTTGAAAAAATTGTGTATCATGGATGAAGTTGAAATTACACTTGGGAAACCTCCCATGGTTCCTCAAGATACTAAGAAAATTGAACCTTTGGACAAAAGAAAACAAGAGACTAATTTTGAAGAGAATCAAACCATGAACTGCGCTGTGTACATAAAAGATGAAGTAGATATATCTCCTGAGATAGAAGAGGATGAATACATGGATCCCCTTGAAGTTGAAGAGCTTGAGAATGAAAGTCCAGAGACTATTATGGGCTCTTCCCAAAGATTTTCTTACACAAACATTGATCAAACCTTTAACTCAAGATCCCTTCCAGAATTTCCACCAAGAAAGGGATCCAATGGTTAATAAATGAAATAAAGAAAACTGAGACAATTAATACATGTTAATAAAAATAATGCTTAGACTGAATAAAATCTTTTTTGCAATTAAAAATTTTTCTTTAACAAATCAAATTTTCGAAAGATGTAAACATGTATGCGTTAAGCATAGTTTATCACCTTATTTGTTACACAACCCTACTTATTTTCTAATAAACCAGTTCAATCTACATACATTAGACTGTTTATTCCTATTAATGAAAATTTCACTACTGTGTTGATAGTATAATATAGAGGTTTTGCTATAACTACACAATTTATAACACTATACCATATGTTTCTATGGAAACCTGTACCGATTAGACAGCCTCAAACATAATCAACTCAGTATCTCTAATGTTTTTTGTCAAATATTCTAAGAGACATGACTGAGACATTGGGAAACGTTGAAATGCAAGACAAAATAACGAAAGGTCAAAAAATTATGGACGACTTAACAATTGATAAACGAGTAACAGAGGAGGAGTTTCAGAATTTCATGCATCGCGTTACAGAAGTCGGTAAGTAAATAATCCGTTTCCACTATAAAAGAATTATTCATGTATCGTGTTGTTTAAGAGAAAATCGTGAAGAAATTGGCGTCGGACGATCCCGAAGAACAAAAGCACGGTCAAATTTTGGCGGATGAGATGTTGGAGACAAAATCAGAAACGTTCGTTTCCGAAGACTGTGAACTAAAAGTAAAATCTAGTCGAACGGTGATTAACAAATCTACTACAAATGAAACTAACAACAGAGAGCAAATGTCACAAGGTATACATGGCTATTGCACTTTCTTTATTTTACGTATTAATTATTGATCTAAGTATTTAATTTCGGTTGCACAGAAGCATTTATGAGAAGCATAGAAAAAGATGCGAAAGAGAGAGCGGAAGATCGAAGAATTAGAAACGAACGAGCGGAAACGTTGAAAAGAATTGGAAACGGGGCATTTAAAGAGGGAAGTTATGAAAAGGCTGTAACTTATTACACTAAAGCGTTGGAGCAACGAAAGGACTCGTCCGTGTTGTGGAATAACAGGGCTTTGTCTTATATACAGCTTGGATTATTCGAAAAAGCTTTAGCCGATTGTGAATGGGCTCTAAAAGTTCACAACGCAAATATGAAAGCCCTCTTAAATAGCGCTAGATGTTACAAGCATCTTGGGGACAAGATCAAATACAAAGAATACATTCAATTAGCCAGAGAAAGAAATCCACGCTTCGATAAATTTATTGATGGTATATACTTAATGTTTTAACATTTGAAACATTTCTATTATAATTATGTTATCGTTAAGGCTTTTTTTTTACAGAATTCGAAGAAAATATGGACACAAGCATCGATTACCAGGTCTGATCCAATACGACCTAACTTAATACATATAGTAATTAACAATAGAAATATTTCTCATGTACTATGTATATTTCATTTGCAATAATCTAAAAGGCATTCAACCAATATCAAGATGAACTTATTTTTGTTGCATTACCCTCTTTTATCTCAGACAGAGACCTAGGCTCATGCAGAAAAACTGTACACTCAATGCCCTGAAAGAAATTATTACTTAAGTTATTTTAGTCTTTTATGCTTTGGAATATATGTACCTATACCTGCATGCGTGCTGCCCTCACAAATCCTTCATTTGCAGACACAGTAATACTTTTCATATTTTCACCAGTTGCAAAAACTAGTCTAGATCTGTCTTTAATTTTACCACCCAAGCTTAGCCTCTCCATAATTCTGCCTGTAGGTAGGTCATGGACTATCCGAACCCTATTCATTAATTCTTTTGCTCGAAGAGTCTCTTTGGGACCACCGATAACATCAATGATGTTCATAAAATTTTCATAAGCAGTTTGGCATACAATGAGTTCTTTATCCTCGAACAGTTTCTCTAGAATTGGTTTTGCTGGACATTTTCTCTCCATTTCTGCTTGCTGAGTAAGCAACGGTTCTCTATAAATAAAATGATCATACCCATTGGTCATGTTTGTAACATAAGCCAACAGGGTGGACACATCCAAATTAAGAATGTTTATTTCAGTTGCAAAAGGGGAGGTATTTAAGGTTTCCAAATCCGAATTGTTAACCTTATTACATCCATCCGAAGACCCGTTTAGAGACCCTAATGTACACATCCATGTAGAGAATTTGTCATCTACTTCTACACCCAGAACAATAGATGCAACATTAGGTACTTTTCTTTGCTACTGTAAATGTTTATGCATTCACGCTATTAGAAAAAAATGTATACCATGTGTATCTATGGCCTTTTCATCTTCACACTGTATTCTGTCGCCTTCAACAATTACTCCCATGTGTTCCATGCGTGTGGCTAATGGTACTTCTATGCCATAAGCAAAATGAAACACTACATCCGGTGGTCTATAAAGATGTGGATAATATTTGGCACATTGCAAGAAATACATTGCTTGATCTAGCACAGATTTTTGCCCGTATTCTCCATTTCCCATTGAAATTAAGGTAAGCGCTTTGGCATTTCTGGCAATAACTTTCACCCAAGATGCCCCACCGTTGCATACAATATCAACTTCTAACCGTGATTTTTTATGTTTAAATGGTTTCATAACATTGGTGGGTTCGCTGGCACAGAACAGTCGTGCCGCAATGGCATTTAAATGAATTAGATTTGTGCTTTGCAGATGTTCCTTTTTTACATTCCCTGTAGTTTGTACCTTTGTGAAAATAGCGTATAATTATAATTCTGTTATTATTAATCCAAATGTGTCTAACAGCGATTTAAAGTGCAACAAAACATTTTCTTTCTAATACGAGGAAACGTACCTTTTCTAAAAATCTAATCTCTTGTTGAAACTTTCGTATGAGTTTTTCAACTCCATCGATCTTCCCCACGAGTTTCAGTCGATCTATCGTGGCTTTGCCATTGTGAATTTTTTCTTTAAGACATTTCAGAAGCTCAGTCGTTTCCTCCATACTTTTCAGTCAAACGATACTAGAGAGTTTGGCCATGGAAAATCGTCTTTTCCTTCGGCTGTTCGTACAATTTTGGATAGTCCACGATCGACGAACGTAGTGTTAGCGGCCATCTTGCATCACAGTGCAATATCGCGTAATGTCGTCGGGTCGCTTGTCAAACTCGTCCATTAACCTCACAAACTTTTCTATTTCAACGAATAATTAACAGTCAAGGGCAATACATGAATGGTAATGATACCGTGTTCCAAAGAAACATGCGAAGTGCAAAACGACGCCCGGTAAAATAATTCGCGCGCGTACAGGTATCGAAAACAAGACTTGTAATCACATCACAATTATCGCACGCTGTCAACTTTTCTCTGACAATAATAGAGAATACCGGTATATTTACGCTACAAAATGTCCAGCGCGAAAATCATCGAAAATCCAGAAATACCGGGTAAGTCTCTCTCTTCCTAGGAAATAATATTCATCTTCATTGATTCACGTTGTTGGGGACGTCTGCCCTGCCGTGAATCTGCTATCAAAATATACGTGAATTCGTAAATCTTCGTGTTCATCGACCGTGAGAAATATATGATATTCGTTAGAGTGTCTTTAAAACGATCCAGAATCCAGAGTATATATGTTCTCGAACGAGATAACGTAGTTTCGCAAGATCGAAAACATCCTATTTATGTATTCGTGGTGGGTCCCATCGTAAATAGCCGGATGCGACATATAGCACGTCTACATCAACCAATTATCGAAACAATTACTCAAAGAATCCAACTATCCCGACCTACGTCAGACGTATAACACGCAAAGTCAAGTTATTTCATAGACATTCCTCGCATCGCTGTCAAGTTTCATTGAATATTTGACTGTTGAAATCAGCTGATATCTTAAAATACAAAAATGACAGACACGTATATACTGGCGCAAGTACAGTGTCTACTCGCTTACCTTTTCCCCTTGCATATTTTTTAAAGCTTCTTAAACAAACAATTTCCAAAACCATCGCGACAAATTAATTACCGATGCAAAGAGGAATAGTCGAACCGGTTCGTTTTATGCTTAGATACACGAACGTATCAGCGCGTGATACGTTACCATTTCAACTAGAAACGTATTTATTTATGGTACAAGTCTTACGAGAGTTGTACCAATCATTATTATCATTTGTTTCATTCGGTTTCGCGTAATATCAATTTTTCTTTTAATTCGATCCTCTAAATTTCCTCCGTTTATCTCGATCGCGGGCGCTAAAGTAACGTTGTCGGTCCTGAAGTGCACTGTGCAGTCGATAAGTAGAGACGGCATCGAACATGTCACGATGAATGTCGAAACATCTTGGAATACACGTCCGAATATCATATGTGTACACTTAAAAAGACAACACCGGCATTTGGAAATCGAATCGAACACTATCGGAGTATACGTACAAGTGTTACACGAGTAGCGAAGGAAACAATGGCTGCACGATAAAGCACGCGTTGAACTTGATCCTGCTGCTATCGATAAGCGAACCGTATGTATCTTGAGTGTTACGAATAGAAATGGGTTATAATACATTACAGGCTTCGTGTCGGGTGCGCTGTTCGAAATTACCGAAATCAGTATTCGTGTAGCGCGCGTAATTAAATCCCGCCTCAGAGCAAATTACATCGACACCGCATCTTATCTTGTCTTGCCGATATTTATGCTGGTGCTTTATCGCTATTTCTCATCCGCTATTTTATCCGCTATACATTTTCATGCATAGTCCGACCATGCTTAAACTGTCCGAGCTTTTTATCGCCATCATAAATCTAACGCGTGAGCATAAACATTTGTCATTCATCCCCTCCGTATCATTTCCAGAATGCTTCCCGAATTCTATTATTACTATTAGTATTATTGTTATTCAAAAAATATTCCCTAGCTTATACGTCGGGTGAATTCCGCGAATCGATACGAAAGATCTTTACGATCTACTAGGGTATAGTTCTCCGGTTGGCTATTACTCTTTTCTAAGCAAATGTAGAGAAGAAGAAAAAACTCGATAGAAAATCTTAGGTGCTATTAGACGCGTGTCGTAAAGTATTCAATTTTCGACATTGCCCATTGTAACGCTGCAAAATGATAAACGACGATGTTCATTTTTCCGACCTTCCATTGAACGAACAGTCAAAACAACAATCTTATCCCTGCTTGGGTGCTTAGAATCAATCTATACTCTGTACGATTCAGGATTAGAATGTTTCCTACCTCCGCCACCGCCACCACTTCCTTCGGTTGCATCGCCGAACACCAACAACAATGTACAGAATTCAACGGAACAACAACAGCAAGAAGCGAACACAGTGGAAACGATGGCGAGCGGTTGTCCAGGCAGCGGAACCCCGCCAGCCCTGACAACCCCGCCGCCGCCGCCGACGACGACGATTCAAGCAGCGGTTGCACCATTTCCAAATGTTTCCTTAGCACCGGCGTTCATGATGCACCCGACGATGCACCCACAAGCACCTGGACAACCGTCTACACCCTGGTGGATACCCACGGACGCGGACACGTCGGATATTTACGCTCGATGGTACGACACGACCTACAAGGCGGCGGCAGCCGTCGCGGTGGTCGCGACCCCAACGATCCAAGTCGCCGGGAAATCGAAGAACAAGCATCAGAAACGCAAGAGCGAGTTCATCGATCCCGCGCAAGATGCAGGTAATTAGAAAACCTTTCGTTGCTGTTTAGCCACGAGCACGAAAAGGATAGACTCTTCTCCATGCTCGTTCCCTCAACGATGTGGCATCGTATTGCCATTGAGAAATCGGAATCCAGATTCCTATGGCAGCTTAGCTAATTAAAGATTGATTTATGTTTTCGATTTCGCAGAGAAAGTTGCGAGCGCCCAGAGGGAACTGTCTGCGCTAATGAAACCGTTGAAATGCGATCTGTGCAACGCAGTTGTAAGGCTCGATCACTTTAATCGATGAAAATACATATGCCACGTAGATCCGCCTGTTGAATTCGCTCTCCTGTGTCGCGTCTACCCAAGCCCAGGCGAGTACACAAACGCGCGGAGGACTTAAGAACGAATGTGCTTTTTAGATGAACTCGACGTTGCAAGCTAAGTTACATTACGACGGGAAGCCGCATCAGAAGAAGGTGTCGATGTTTCTGAATCAGAGCGTCAAGAAGCAGAAGACCGAGGACGGTCAAGTCAGTAGCACGACCAACGATTGGCAGAACTATTGCGACGTGAGTATCCGGGAAACTTGTGTTCGATCGTTCGAAACCGACCGAGGATCCGTGACCTGTGTGTGGGGCCTGATACCGCGTCTTTTTTTCTGTTCACAGACCTGCAAGACATGGTTCACGTCGCAAACGGACGCGACGCAACACTACGCCGGCAAAAAGCACATTAGAGCGGCAAACGGTGGACGTCGTGCGAGGTACAGAGATGCGTATACTTGTCTGTAATTATTTCTTAGAGAGATACCCGTGTCAGCCAAGTTCATCATACCAGAGCGTTGAATTCTGCAGGCCGTCGAAGAAGTCGCAAAGTCAAAGTCAGTACAATCAAATAGATCTTACGGGCCGATTCGGGATTGGAGTGGCTTTTCAGGCGGAAGTGCAATCTCCCGCGACGACGCAACCGGTTGTACCCGACGATACCGCTGCGTCGGTCCCGGCCCCGCCAACGGGGCCCATCTACACGCCGCCGCCTTATCCGACGCCGTTGCGTTGCGATTTGTGCGGAGTCTCGGCTAATCGGCAGGACCAATTAGAAACGCACAAGCGCGGGGCCAGACACTTGAGAATGCTCAGGTTGAACGGATTGCCTGTCCCCGAGTCCGGTAAGTGTGAACCAAACGATTACAAACATACGGGACTTGTCGCAAGAATCAACGTTTATCCAAGCTGATTATTTTTCAGCAACCGAGAACGAGATGACCCCCACCACGCCTGGACCTATAGACTACTCCATCTATCGAACACCGTCGGGTAATATTAACATTCCTCGTACAAAGTACATACGACGTATCGTACGATCGAATTAACAACACTGTCTTGATTCCAGGTCAATATTATTGCGCGCCCTGCAATCTCTCGTTAAATTCCGAGAGTATGTTCGCCCAACACGTGGACAGCAAAAAACACAAAAACCAGTCAAATCCAAAGTCTCCGTCGAATGCGGCGGTTGTGTCGAAAAAGGCCAGATTCAAGAAGAAATAAGACCACGAGGACGGATGTACACGTTACTTCGCCTGTCCATTGTTTTCACTGAACTCTTATCCCACATTTTCCCAGTTGTACGGACGTATTGTGGTTGCGCCGAAAGAACGCGCAACGGTCTATCTGGAGAAACGAAATAAAACTCTTGTTCGATACCAGACGCGTAACAATATTCACTCAACCCCCGCCCCCTCCCCGAGGCATTCACGAGAGCGGTGAGAAAACGTTGCCGGAGATGCGCCGCGAGACGCGACGGAGATTACGAATTAATGCGAAGATAGATCCGATCGTCGCGCGACTGATGGGAAAGATAAGTCTGTTAGTCCGCGAGGAGCGTATTTAAATTAAATACCGATTACCTCTAAATTCGATTTCCCGTAAACCCGAACCGTTATTTAGACGGTAGCTCGTTAAACATCTCTCGGAGGCAACGCGACTAATCGGCCACATTTATTCAATTATGAAACCATTAACTCGAACGCTCCGTGCAGCGTCGCGTCGCGTCGCCCTCTCGATTCGCGAAATCGTACGCGCGTGCATACGAGCACGCGTTTATCGCGTCCAAGTGAAATTTATGCGTCGTTCGGTCTCGGCCTTCCACGGAATTTATGGCCAAGCGAACCCGCCACGCCGAGCCCTCCTCTATTAATTACCTTCTTAGACACGTATGACGGATCAACCGTTTTCAGCCTGTTTTTACTGTCACCTTCCCCGCGATGAATATATCTTTTGACAGCGGAAACCAAATAAAAATGTCGGTGTATAAAGCATGAATCAACCGACCGAGAACCACCATCGGTGGCGCTCGGTTCACGGATAACCAAAAACGGCAATAGGAAGCGTAAAAACACGATACAATTCCGGAAGAAGAACGGACCAGTTGCCTGGCGAACGAAGTCGATGGATACCGTATTTCGAGGGGTAGGGGAGAATAAAATTAGTCGCTGTTGGGATCGTGGACGGAACGAATTCTTCGTAAAAATTTCATGAGTAGCTCGAAGCTATCAAAAGAAGACCAAATGCCTATGTGGCACAGAGGTCTCGTGTCCTGAAAATTCCTTAGGAGCCGTGTTCCCCCTCCCCTCCTCTTCCTACTCGGTCTGCATTCCGCTGATTTTCTAACAAACTCGCGCCGCGGTAATTTAGCGGCCCAACTATTTTCTTCTGGCGCTTCTTTTTTAGCTTTCCGTCCCGAAGAGCTTCAACTCCCGCTATTCCACCAACCGAGCTAGAGATTAGGATCGTCCTCGCCACGGACTTGTAGATCGTTGGTTTATACCTGCGCTTCGGATTTTTATGACCCCCAGGTTCCACGTTTAACGTGACCCCTCCTTTTTATTCCTCGCAGCGTCCACCTCCCACTCCACGACATCATCGAAATCCCTTTTCCATCTTCCCGTCTTCTTTCTTATATATCTGCGCGTACTACACACACGCGCCACTATTTCTTTCCGTTCGTGTTGCCCCCTTACGCTTATATACGCGTCCGTACACCGTTCATTTTGCGCAATATATTAGCCGGAAATGGCGAACACATTGAGAGGGGCGGAGCGAGGATGAGAAAGAGAGAGATAGAGAGATACCTACAGTAACAAACTTTTTTGGAATTAAGCGTGGATCGAGAAGAACGGGAGAGGGATCCAGAGATAAACGAGAATACACTAACACAATGGCGAGCGAGTGAGAGACGATCGATTCGTCATGCGGCCAGGTGTAATGCGCGTAAAAACTTATTAATCATCGCGCGTCCGCTCCGAAATTCGGTGGAATTCCTCCCGATGACTGGAGAGAATTTCTGAGAACCTCTCGAACCATCGTGGAGAGCCATCTCCTTCACCTGCGGTGGGGTAGCCCGGCACCATGACCGGTACGGTAGAACGAAACAGATCAAACGATCGATACACATTCAAGCTCGGCTAGACATTTAGATCGTGTAGCCGGTACGATTCACAGGGGATCTCTTAACTAGTCCGAGCCGAGAGCATCGCTGCCTTCATTTTCTGATACATGAAATCTTTCCAATATCGGCACTTTGCTCGGGGGATAATAAATTTTCTCTTGCGGCGAAGTAAATAACCCATAGGAACGTATAAGAGACCGACGACGTGTAATGCTTACGATCGGTGGTTATGAAGTTATTCGCGCAGAAATCCTCTTCCGTGGTCGCGTGGATCCACTTTATTAGCAGAACGTATCGATCATCGTATCGTCCCGGATAGTGAGCACCGCAGCACCTAAGATACCGATCAATGGTGCAACTGATCGAAGGTAGGCGCATTCGTTATTCGCCAGGGAGGAGCAAACGATTCATTACAAATTCATGCGCGTGCCTTCATTTATTCAAAATAAACTCATAAATTTGAAAGAATACCCACAACGAGCGGGTACTAATTAAATGTTCTATTGACAATTCCCCCAAGAATCGGGGACTCGTTTAAAGTAAAAGAGAATGGTAGTTTCCCTCGGACAACTCTAATGGCTCGGACCCTCGAGCCCCCCCCCCCACCCTGCTACCAAAGGCGCTTGCGAATTTTCTTTTCGCGCGAACCTTCATTTCTAATTCCGCTAACGAACGGCTAACCGAGTTAGCGCGAGAAACGGTACCTCTACCTAGCGGGCAAGAGCAGCCGCTCCTTTGTCTCGCCGAATCCATTGTTCCAGCCGAGAGTATGAATTGGTAAAAAAAAAACAAAAAAAAAACAACCTCTGGGAGGCCAGGGCGGCTGAACGAACGCGAACGCGAGGATTTCTTTTCTGTCCCGTTCGCCAGCCCTCGGACAAATTCGTACAATTATTTCTCGATTAGGAGAGATCGTTGAACGTACCAGCGGGGAGCTACGGACCCGGGTCAGATTGCCCCGGCTGTATTACGGAGAGAAAGAGAAAGAGAGCAACGGAGGAGTGGAGGAAGAAAAGAGGGATCCTGCGTGGTCCGCTTAATCGCGGAAATTTCGCGGGACGTCGCAACACCAGCTTTAATAAGACGTTTTTGCGAATACCCCCGCTGGAAAAGGGTAACAGTCGGCGCGACGAGGACGCGGCAAGACCGGCCCCCAGGAGGAAGACGAATAAAACAAAAGGGAATAAAAAGCGATCGGGCGCATCTCGGTGGGGCTGACCTTGCAGGTCTTCACGGGCCACCAATGTAGACCGACAAGAAAATAGAAAATCGTGCTGCTCCTAAATGCGGGCGGTGTGATGTCATGCGGAAATAGCCATCCGTCCCGTCCGTCTATGCTTACAGCCGCCGCCGCCACCACTGCCAATGCGCGACAGAGAAAGGGGAACGGAGGGATCTTGATCGTTCGACCGATTACCTCGTTACTAGGCTTCCAAAGAGCCGATAGATCAGCGATTGCAAAGCAAAAATCGTTCGCTTTGGTCGTGTCGAAATACGAACAATTAAGATAGATATAACGACCAGCCTCGGACGTTCTGTTTTTAATTAGAACAATCGATTTTTGTTCCTCGGTCGATGAAAATGTTGTCGGGCCGATAAAGCTCAAGTTATAAGACTGATCGGAACAGCATCCGAGCGATTATTCTTTAATTTTAAACGGGCCCGTCTGGCGCCGTCGTCCGGACGACCATCTGGTATCTATAAGAGAGACTGCAGTCCCTTCGAGTCTCGGAGATGATCGAGAAAAATTATGGTTCCGAATAAGGGTCCGCTAATACGTGAAATCGTGGCAAATTTATACCACCGTTTTTTTGCCAAGTATTCATAGCAATTTGCAATGCAGAATCGTTAAAATCGTTTTCGACTACACACCCGAGCGATCTCATTGTCGGTGACCAGACAACGGCGAAGTAATTCTGAAGTATTAATGGAGCTCGACGGATTTCAGTGTTCTCTGGGACCACTCGGGGATCTGACGGGTCCGTGATGGTCCCCGGAGACCACCGAGAAGTCGTTGAGAAGTTGCGATGGACCTTGTGAACGGTTCCGATGATTTGAAAGAGGTTCGTATAATCTTGGTGGCCCGTGAGAACCACTGAGGTTCCCCCAAGGGCCTTTTGTGGGTACTAAAAGGTTTTCGGTGGCTGCTCGAGTCATATGCAACAAAACTACACGCGCGTAATCGCATACATGCAACAGATAATCGCAAAACGCTTCTTCGGGCCATTTATTGACCAACTCTACAAACAATTCTGATCATTTATGGTAGGCCGATTATCAGGACCCATATTACCTGCTCCCATGATCTCTCGATTTTTATTAACATAACTATTAAGGTATTTAGTCCAAATTTTAATGTAATTGTAAAAAATAACAAAACTATCGATGGACTGGACTTAACATGTTGTTACAATATGAGTGACGTCATGGTGATGTATAAAAGCAAATGCACCGTAAAAAGAAGCAATAAGCGACTTACCAATCGAAGACCGGACAATAGAGTTACGTAGAATTCACCTTCATCTGCAATTTACTTCCGCTCTGAGGATCGATGAGATATAAATGTTTGTAGAATTGCGATAACCATTGTTCGCGTAGTGGTTCCCCTTTGACGCCTGCATTCTTCTTGAAAATGTACCGGCACTTTGACACTCGAGTTATTGGTGTTATTCGCGAAACTTTCTTTAACCGTACATTTTGCGGTTCATATTAATCCCGAATTGTTTATAAGCTTAAATCCTTTTCGTACAAACGGTCGTTTAACAAGTTGTCAAGGCAAATCTCGCGTTCACAGATCACCAAGCTAGACTATTCACGACACGAACAATTCTGCACTAGTAAACGTAACAAAAATCCACACAAAATGTCAACGAACATTCACTTTGTTTGTATATAATCGGCGAGTACCACGTTATTACGTTAATTACTTATTGCAACTATTCAACTGCAAACGACGCGAGGAGACGAACTGACGGCGGTTGAAGGACGCGGTCAAGACTACCGAGCACTACCGAGTTTGCAATAAATTACCCATACACCGTTTCGAGTTAATCACGTGATCATAAAAATCGACAAATCAGATACGAGTATGAAGTTTAGAGATGGTCACGTGATTGAAGTTGCAAGAATTTACCAAGAATGCATTTCGCGAGAGATCACGTGATTGAAGTTTCAAGAATTTACCCAGAATGCATTT